AAAAAAAACAAAATTTCAATAAGTTAGAATAAATAGCTGAAATATGGTGAAATAATCAATTTTTTCAATAATGAACTTTTATTGATTATTTAGGATAATTAAGTGTTTATTTTTGGAAATCAAATTGTATTCTGTAAGTAAAAATAAAAAAGTAAATGGAAAGCAGATTATATTGTAACGGTTAGAATTTTGAAGACAGTCAAAGAAGTATGTTTTCAGTTTTAAGAGTCTAACATTAATTCAAACCTGATCTGTTTGTATATAAAAAAAATATAAAATGAAAATTATGTGAACAGTAACGCTTTTTGGTGGGAAATGCCAGCTAGGTAAAATTAAATATGTTTTCTTTAATGCTCATGAGCCAGTAATTATATATATATAGATTATTATTATTATTATTATTATTATTATTATTATTATTATTATTATTATTACTATCATCATTATCATTATTATTATTATTATTATTATTATTATAGTAGTTAATGCTATTTTTTTGCTATTATATTATATAATAGTTAATGCTATTGGGGGAATGCTACCGTTACGGAACTATTCCGTCGGAATTTGTAACTGTTAGATCATCATGATAGTTGATTTAACGATTACAAATCTCGACAGAATGGTTTATATATATATATATATATTTGTGTGTGTGTGTGTGTGAATTTTCAGGTAGGTAGTACGTCGATCGTATCATGCGGCACGAAGATAGTAAATGTGTTATTTTTGTAGGGTTGTATCTAAAAAGCCAATATACTTGCATCATCTAATTTCCACCCATTTTGGTCAGCATTGTTTTCACCTATTTTAATCACCATTATTTTTTAGACACGTTAAAGTTGATTCTATCTGCATTAGCATTTAAATTAATTAATATATTGTCCCACTAATACATTTATATTGATCTAAATTTGATTTTAGTATATATATTTATTTCTTTATATAAGAAAAAATAATATATGTACTTATTTTTTAATCACCGGACTAGCCTGAGCCCAAACCATGTTTTAAAAAGCTACGTACGTCATACATATAAATAAATAACTAAGCTATACCAATCTATATGCCATGGTTTTACAATTTTTATATTTATTACCTCTATTACATGTTAATTATATAAATTTTTTCACATATATATATATATATATAAATAAATAACTAATATGATACAATTATATATTAAATATATGAAAAGGAGATATTGTACTTATAATTTATAAAAATTTTATCCTTACTTAAATCTAATCGTTTAATTATAACTGGTCATGTATATAATTATATATATATTTATATATAATCTATAAAAATAGTGACTATAAGATATAGATATTATTATATCATTATTAATGTATAAGCTAATGAATATATTACACTCAACATTGATAATAGAAAATGATATTTTATAAGTTCATTTTTATTCGACATAAATAAGGTACATTTCAGTAATAAAAATAATATTTATTTATTATATTATTAAATTATAATAAAATTGTTACAAAATATGTAACTTGGAGATGAAAGTTAACTGTACCATAAATACGACAAATTAAAATGACAAACAAAACTTATCTTTATTAAATACCATATTATGAAAGAATTTGTCATATTTATATGAAAACAATATATGTTTTTTTTTTCAATTAAGTTGTTGTATATACCCATATTTTTTTGTTGTTTGAATTATCCACATAGGGTCTAATAAATTTAATTCAAAGTTAGAGGGTAAGTCCAATGCATAATTATTAGCACTGTCAAACGGGCTGGTCCGGCCCGACCTACTCCGGCCCGCGGTTCAAACGGGGCGGGCCAAAATGGCCCACATTTCTACGGGCTGGGAAATCCATAGCCCGTGGCCCGCCCGCGTTTTTTTTTTTTTTTTTTTTTTTTATGGTATTCGCACTTTTATATATTTTTTGGTTTGTTTATCCTTATATTTACTAGTATATTAATAAACTAGTAAGGTTTCATGTGTAATGATGTTAAATTTTTGTCATCTAGTTTTTATTTTTTTCAATCAATAGTTATAGGGTATTCACGCGCAGGAACGACTTAATTGACATAAAATATTATTTGATTTAATATTTTTATTATGTAAAAAAAAAACATTTCATGTGCAAGTTAGAAATTAGAAGTAAAATAAAAAAAATACTAAATTTAAATAATATAATTAAAAAAAAAAACAGGCCAGCCCGCCCCAGCCCGCGGGCCAAACGAGGCGGGCCAAATAGGCCCGCGATTGAACGGGCTGGCCAAGCAAAGGCCCAAGCCCGTCCATTTAAGCGGGCAGACAGGCCAGCCCGCGGGCCACCGGCCCATTTGACAGTGCTAATAATTATGTATAAATTTGATTATTTATTTATTCAAATAATTATACTCATTGTTTTAATGATATATCATACATTAAAATTGAAATTGATAAAATTTATTTATAGAAAATAAATGTACTTTTGGAGGTTTTTTCTTTTCCAAGCTACTTAATAATTAATTTATTCATTTATTTATAATTATATATATAATAAGTATTAATTATATAAAAAGGAGATTTTATACTTATAATTTATAAAAAATTTCTCCTTACTTAAATCTAATCGTTTAATTATAACTGGTCATGTATATAATTATATATATAATATATATATATAATCTATAAAAATAGTGACTATAAGATATAGATATGATTATATCATTATTAATGTATAAGCTAATGAATATATTACAATCAATATTGATAATAGAAAATGATATTTTATAAGTTCATTTTTATTCGACATAAATAAGATACATTTCAGTAATAAAAATAATATTTATTGATAATATTATTAAACTATAATAAAATTGTTACAAAATATGTAACTTTGAGATGAAAGTTAACCGTACCATAAATACGACAAATTAAAATGACAAACAAAACTTATATTTATTAAATACCATATTAGGAAAGAATTTGTCATATTTATATGAAAATAATATATGTTTTTTTTTTTTAATTAAGTTGTTGTATATACCCATATTTTTTTGTTGTTTGAATTATCCACATAGGGTCTAATAAATTTAATTCAAAGTTAGAGGGTAAGTCCCAATGCATAATTATGTATAAATTTGATTATTTATTTATTCAAATAATTATACTCATTAATTGTTTTAATGATATATCATACATTAAAATTGAAATTTATAAAAATTATTTATAGAAATAAATGTACTTTTGGAGGTTTTTTTTTCTTCTCCGAGCTACTTAATAATTAATTTATTCATTTATTTATAATTATATATATAATAAGTATTATAATTGTTTAATATTCGAGGCGGCAATTTCAGGTGTTGCCGTGTTGGTATACTATATATATATATATATAATTAATTCTATAGGTGGCGTTCGCTTCCGTCCTCGCGATACAGAGTGCCTTGAATACCTACAGGGGTTCATCACAGGGAATCCTCTTCCCTCCCACGGCTTCATCTCCATAGCCGACCTCTACGGCCAAACGGAGCCTTGGGAGCTGTTCGAAGATTCCCAGGTAAAAGACTGCGGCTGTCGTTATTTCTTCACCAAACTCAAGAAAGTCGGCGCCAAGAAGGGAAGGACTTACCAGCGCTACTCGAGGAACGTCGGGGCCGGCGGGAATTGGTCCAACAAAGGCCAGAAGTCCGACATCATCGGCCCCAAGGGCAACATCATCGGCCACGCCCGAACCTTCCGCTACCAGCCTAGAAACACAGACGACGTGGGGCCCACGCGCGGCGAGTGGGCCCTGAAGGAGTACTCCCTTCCCGACTCCACATCTCTCAGGGTTGCAGAGGACCGGCGGGACTACGTTCTGTGCGTACTCAAGAAGAAGAAGGAGAAGATCCCAACAACTACAAGTACAGGAGGTGGTGTTGTCCAACCCGTCGAAGCAGATTTGGACTACCTAATGGCCACGCTGGCATCCACGTCACATGTCGAGGGTGATGGTGGTCATGTGGGGTCGCTCGACTATCCGGCGACAGGTGGCGAGGTCATATGTCCGTCGAGTTTGCCGGGACTTCAGGATATCGAGAGTTGGCTGGGTTATGACGATGATCAGGTTTTGGAGGGCGATTCTTTTGACTTCAGCGACGTGGATAATTGGTTGCATGCAAATGGATTCCGTTGGTCGAGTGATTTGCCGATAATTGCTAGCTAAGTGTCCGTTTGATATTTGTTTGATATTTTCTTGTTTTCGATTATTGGGGTACTCTTTTTCCCGGTCGGAGGTTTTTCCCCACACGGGTTTTACTTCGATCGGGTTTTAACGAGGCCCCGCTTTGCGCCATCTGGCCGGCGCGTTGTGGCCAGACTCTTCTTGTTAAAAAGAAAGCAAGGGGGAATGAAACTGTATTCTTTAATTGTTCATAATAGTAGAAAAGTGAATTGAACTTAATTTTCGTTTTTTTATGTTCTGTGAGCCAACTTCACAATCAAATACTTTCCGGTGTTTATTTGATCAAACATGATTTCAGAACATATGCAAGGATTGTGGTATTGGTAATTTTGGTTTACTTGGTATTAATTAATGTAAGAAAAAAAAATAGTTTATGTTAATTAGTTGTGGAAAAAAAGATGGAAGAAATCAATAGCAAATTTAATAATATAGAGATTTAATCCAAGCCTAATTTTTTTTGTATAAAATTTATTAACTCCGAGTTTACGATTCCGAAGCGTCCGTGTCGATACTAAGACTCAACACATTTGAAAATTATATATAAGGATATAT